TTTGTTTAATACACTATGGTGAAGGGTCTATAAGACTTATTGATCATAATTCGATCTTTCATCCAAGGTAGTTCTTAACAGACATCTCTCAGATGATGCTTCTTCCAAACATTGATGCCATTGAATGATTTGGGGCTTCATCCATGATCACTAACATCCTGAAATTTCACTAAGCTAGACTGGACTCTCATCGAGTATAGACAAAAAGATTTCAACGTGATATTACCACGGAATATCTATGATTTCAATAACAATGATTCAAAATGGTCATGAGAAATTGTTTGTCTTTCAAGACACAACTCATTTTAGACTCTAGATTATTATATTATCCCTTATTTCAGTGGCTGATATCTTGGTAAAACGATTTTGGACTTCGGTTATCCATCGAACGGGTTTCCTGACCACCAATATCGTGCAATTTCACTAAACTAGACTGGATAATCTGGTTTAGACAACGAGTTCTCTCTTAGCGAGATAAGCGTATCTGAACGTAATATTACCCGGAATATCTGAACTCAATAGCGATGATTACAAATGGATGATCGTTTAATGTATACATTGATATGAGAAGTTGTCAAAGCTCTCTTTAAGCTATCATACATGATAATCATATCACTCTCTGCCAATAACGAAAAGTATTTTGTTTTCTGGGTTGAGAAAGAAGAATGTCATTCCAGCAAACACCTACTTATACCCACTGTTGTTAGTTAAACAAACATTTTTTAAATAAGAGTAACTTTACTTCTAGGATCTCGTCTTTTTTTATTTGTTGTCTGTTGTGTAAACAACGAAAATGTTTTCCTTTCTCATGTTCCTTTTTTTCCTGCAAATAAGCGAGTTTTTCCCTAATGTTCAAAAAAAAAAAACTCGAACCTTTTTTTAATTTTTTTCTTTAGACGTAAGTCTAAGTTTTTTATTTCCTTTTTTTGTGTAACTGATTTTAATTTTATTTTATTTACTTGTTCTTGGTAAAAGTTTATTTTTTGGGGTTAGAGTTTTAAAGGAAATCTGCTTAAGAAAAGTATAAATTTTAAACAAATTTCTTGTGGCCCTAATGGTGTTGCTGCTACATTCTGTTGGTGTTGCTGATGATGGTGTTGCTGTTGGTGGTGGGTAAAAAATGAAAAATAAATAAAGTAAAAATCATTATGTTAATTTTAATATTAAATGTGAATAATTTAAAACTTGATTAAGATTTAACAGGAATAAAAAAAACATATACTAACTCGACACACACACACACACACAACAAATAAACAACCAGATAAGACTTTATTATAAATGCAATTTTCTAACATTTTTCAAAGAATTTTTGCACCAACACCAAGAAAAAAAGCCAAAAAAATATATAGATAAAAATTTTCTAAAAAACATAAAAACAAGATGATGAAAAATATTAAATGAAAATGAAATTAACATAAAAGCAAATACATACATAGCTAGATAGAAAGATAGCTAGAGAGTTAGTTAGAGGTGTTAAATTTATGTATAAATTTGTATACTAACTAATGCTAATTTAATCACAACTCAGTTCAGCTCAACACATTTCATTTAATCTAATAATTCTCGTTCGTTTTCATAAGAAAATTAAATTTTATATTCAAAAGCCATAAATAAAACTGAAAAGATATAATAAATTTTTAAGAAATTACAAAAAAAAAAATTCATATGAAGAATTCGTAATACGGCGCATATATCCATTTGAATATATGTATTTTGAAAAGTGTTATAATAGAATTTAAATGGAAATCATTTTCAAATTATCAAACACATGCAAATTATTTGTTGACATACACAGCATTTGAATATTTTAATCAAGGTTTTCTTCTTTGTCTCTGTATGTGTAGAAGAAAATTTGCAAATTATTGAATTTCTTGTATTAATTGGTATTTTAAAGAAAACAGGCAAATATTCTCACATATTAAAAATAATTATTTACGCGTAGATAATGTAGTTATTTCATACATTACTTGGTAATGAAAGGTCGTCATCAATAACATTATTTCAAATTGTTGAATAGGTTTTGTAGGCAATTGTCAAAGCTTCTTTAAAGAAAAACAAAAAGTTCCAAATCAAACGCAGTCTATGCTGAGTATTCAACCTCTTTGCAGTAGATCTGTTGGAATCGAGTGTTCTAAAATATTCCTTTTATCTATATAGAACGAGAACTAAAACTTTAGCTAGGTTAGGTTGATGGATGACTAATGTATCAAATACAGAAAGAGGCACGGGCTCGGGAAGCTGGCTCTTCGGTTATCTATGTAGAACGAAAACTAAAACTTTAGTTAGGTCAGGTTGATGGATGACTGATCAAATCTAAATGTCTTCTCAATCACTTTGAGTTGATATGGGTTTCAGGACATGAGAGCATCAGTCCCTAGACTTAACTCTTGTGCAAAATGATATTCACACTTCCCATTGATAGATCACTGGGCTGTAATTGAAACGCAACTCATGTCAAATATAAAATATCATCACTGCTCTGGCCCAGTGTGGCAAAGGATAGGACTCTAACTCTCATGTCATTAAGAAAGAAAACGATTATTCTTCTCACGGGTATAATTACTGGGCACTGTATGATTGGACATATGTCAGAACGTATAGGCACCTACGTTATAGCTACTTCAGAAGTTTCTTGGATGAGGAAGTAGAGGAATCGATACAACACTTTCTATGTGAATGTCCAGCCTTACAAGATACTACTCTATCTTGGTAGAGCTCTTTTCCCTGATCTGGATTGTCTCAGAGAGGTGCGTCACTAGTAAATATGATCGGTTTTATTACAAATATCTTCTGATTCTCACGGGAACCGTAGGAACCAATTACTCAAAGAAATGGGCGAGGTAAACCATTCTCCTTTATGTACAAACTCTCACAATTCCGAATACATTAATATAATGGGAATTATTCATTCTAAGTAAGCTTCTCCACCCATTGGATTTACCCGCTATTACATAATTCAAAGTAGTCTTATGGGATTCACACGTTTATTTTTAATTCAGACCTCAGTGCGTCGTACGGTTATGCATTTTTAATATTCACTTCCTCAAGCTCCCATATCTGTAAAGAAAGTTTAATTGTTCTTTTATTGCAGATCATTCCTGAGTGGTCTAGTACTTATATGATGCAGGATTTACCGCAGGAAGAGCATTCGATTATGACCTTATTAACAGTTCAATTTGGTCTTAGATTTAAACTTATCAGCTTATATAGCCCTAATTGCCTACTGGCTGTGAGAAAATATGTTAACCTCTATTGGGGGGCAATATTCAATCCAATCTGTTTTCGATTTCTGGGTTTTCAATGTGAACTCTTTTTTCCTGTGAAAACCCACCTACTATTTTAGCATTTTTACCTAGAACTTTTCCTCAATTAACTGTCCCATTGTTTTATGCATGTATGACTTCGAGGGAATCTGACTTAAATTAAAGGCGTCCTAAGCAGGAGAGATTCTTTTTACAAAGTTCTTCAGGGTCTAAGCACATTGGAGTGATGCCAAATTTATTATCATTACACCTCGCTGAACCTTCTGTTAGCGATTTCTATTGTTTACTAGATCTTCTAGCTTACTGTTATAAACTGGTGGTGTAATTTGACACCTTGGCTATTCCTTGGAATCATTTGACTCGCAATCGAACCTGTCTTATCTGATACCGGTAGCCCTATGTTTAGATTTTCGGATCTTGTCTTCTGCCGGTTATTGGAGAGGTTTCTTCGGGATATACATGGTGGCTGTGATCAGACCCAAATCGGTGGCAGATAAAGTTGGTTTGACGACTGATACACTGTTAAGTTAATATTTTGCTGTTACCGAAAAGACAACATATAAACGACAGACGAGTGTCCGTGGGACAAAATGTTGGGAATGTCACACCTGTATTCTCTTATGAATGTGTCCCATGCTTCCTCTGGAATCTGTCGGTTATATAAGAAGTATATTAGTGATCTTAGGTATGTTCATACCAGAACTTGTCTTCGGGTTATTTGTTTGATTCATAATATGATCTACCGTTTACGTCTAGATCCTATTTTTATTGTCGAATCAACAGAGGCCAATCTATACGTGTGGCTGTAATGGGAATAGATGCTTGTGAAGGATATCGGAAGTTGGTTAACGATTAGATATCTCCATTACTTAGCAAAGTGCTTGTAATGGGAAGACTTATTTTTGAAGTATCTCGAAGGCCGAGGCAGGTATTCACGCAAAGTTCTTCGACATCTTTTGGGTCATAAACTGAATGGCAAGGATCGATCTTGTGTCTTCTCTGGGCTACTTTGTCATAAGATGGCGACACTTACCATTTCAGCATCAAGCTGCTTTTTCTGCATGGTTTTAGGCTCCTTTTAGACACCCTTACCTTCGATGTAGATTTAATATTAATACTCGTTCTCCCTTACTCGTAGTATTCTACAAGGAGACTCCTTTGAGAAAGGTATGTTTTAGCTTTGACAGTACCCAGCAAAAAAAGACGTGCAAAAAAAGTAGTAAATGCATGGGTTGAACTGATAATGAACTAGTTCATATTTAGGGGAAACATGCATGATTTTAACATTAGCGTGTCATTGGCGTGCATGGGTTTGTATTTAGAAAAATAGTTTGTCATTTAAATGAGTTCTTACAACCAATGAAAGTTCATTGATTATTCCGAGTATTTTCATTCATGTTTTATATACATTCAAAAGTTGGTATTTAAACAAATGAAGATCCTATGATTTGAATAGGAATTTTCATTGGTTCACTGCATTTATTTAAATATGGATTTTTGAATGCATTTTTAACTAATTCCAAATATACATGTATATACTAATATAAAAATGCGCATTTTTGTGGTTTTATTGTTAATTATTTAAAAAAATGTATTTATTACTGATAATGTATATATATTATGTATATAAAGAAGGTACATGTATAAAAACATTTATCCAAATAGTTTTAATGTTTGATTAAAATTAAATTAACAAAATTATAATTAATTCAGTCTTTAAAATTAAAAATATTACAGCAATTCAATATGTTTGAGAACAAAAAAGGCAATTAACAAAAAATAATTCAAAGTAAATTTAGGTAATTTTGTATTTCTTATGAATTTATTAATAAATTATAGTGTTTTTCAAAGAAATCGTCTTCTGTTGAAGTTGTATTTTCTTTGGATGCAGCAGATTTCTTTTTTTCCTTGCAATAGCGATTTTTTGCTATTTTTAAAGCATCTCTAATGTCCGATTTGAATGTTTTATCGGTATTGCCTTCACAATAGGTACCAGCTGTAATTTAAAAATAATCATCATTAAAAATATGTATTAAATACTATAATTAAGAAAGTAAATACCTACCAAATAAAACATGCATAAATTTTCGAAAATTTAAGAGACGCAATTTGTTGTGAGTTCCATCTAAATTATATAAATCCAAAACTTCGGGCTTTATGATATCTCTCAATCCTTTTTTAATGCCACGTTGGCCACAAATTGCTCTAATTGATGCGATCTATATGAAATTATAAAGAAATTTATGTAATAAACAAACAATTTTAAATGTTGATATCTTAACTTACATATTCCTTTTCGTTTTCTTCGTTGAGAGTTTCTTCTACCTTCTGAAACTCATCTACAGAAGAAATCGGAAAAGTTTTTGTATATTTTGGGATGTTATTCTTTATGCAACTCTTCATCGCAGCGGTATTTTCTGCCAAAACGTCTAATATTATTGTGTTTTGGTTCTTAATATCTAATTTTAAATAATAATTTTATTTAAAAGATGAAAAATGTGAGTTATAAATAATAAATAATATACCTTTTAATTCATTTTGTATTGTTGTTTTGTTGCTAATAATTTCATTATTAATTTTGTTAATGTTTTCTGGAAAAAATTTTTTTTTATAATAAAAAAAATAAAATAAAACAGTGTATACCAGACAAAACATCAATTTTATTATGAATGACTTGTATCAACTTCATTAGCTCTTGGGAGTCGCACGTCTTTTTATTCAGCTTGTTCATTTTGAATTCTGAAAATATGAAATTTAATTTAATAGTGGGATTAGAACACCACCCCCATTATAAGGTAGCAACATAACTTTTGAAATATCTTTTATATTAAAAGTTTCTTCGATTTCACTAATTTCCAGTTTTCTGCTATATGCTATTCCAATATCTAATGACTGTACAGGGTAAAAGTTCTGAAAAAAGTTCTCTAAGTTTAAAAATTGTTTTCCTTTAATAAAATCATTTTGAATAAATGTTATGGACACAAATATTTTATTTGTTATGCAGCAAAGATTATCTGGTGATTTTGTTTTGAATATATATCCATTTGCAAAAATGGATTTTATTATTCCATTTTTAATAATAGGATCATTATTTTGATCTGGCAAAATGATCTTTTTATCATTAAAATTGTTATATATTTGTTGGGGGATGTGTTATGGCATTTTAATACTTTGCTTAATTTTTTTTAAATAATTTTCAAATTGATATGCAGAGTAGCCCATTAGGTTACCAAATTCTTTATAGCAATCTGCTACATGAAGAAGGCTATGAACATTATGTGAAAGATTCTCAATTCCATAAAATTTGGGAAAATCTTCAACAAATTTAGAGAACATTTGCTCTGCAGTACTGGGTGAAACGTCTTCATTGTAAGTTTTACAATCTAGAAACAATCGGTAACCAACAACTAATTGACAAAAATGCTTGTAAAATTCTTCGTTTACGAAATCTTTTAATAAAACCATACCTGTGTACAGGACAACTTGCCGAAACTCTACAGACTTCCACCTATTAATTTCATCAAGTGTTCTGGGTTTCCTAGCAAACTCCATTGTTATATAGGGTACAAATGAAACCAAAACACTGGACATATGAAATCTACATAGAGATGAAATTTTTTGGTTAGATTTATTACATATTAATAAGACTAACACTTTTTTTGTAATCCCTAGGTCAATAAGGTGCATACAATCGAGGGGGAACTGTTTAATCATTTTTATCCCAAGAGACTCAAGCTTTGATTCTCCTACTAAGCTCAAGCCTTTATGATACGACTCATCTATCCGATTTTTAAAATCCAAATCTGTTCTTTTTGGACCAACAGAGGTGGAGAAAACCGTTCTATGTCCTATACGGGATCCTATTTGCTGGCACCGGTGGCATCCATTTAAGGCATTATGTCCTTTTGTTTGACATAAAAACGATCGCGCCGGTGCATTGCAAATAAATGCCCGTATATTCACACTAAAACTTTTTTCTCCAATCTCAAAAATCATTGATTTGGATTTCATTTCCTCTACGAAGTCATGCATAAAATTATCAACCTCTACAGGTTTACTTTTTCCTACATACGTTCCTATTATGAATACATCTAGTAATGGTTCGTTTACAATTTTTCCCAAGATTGGCCACAATCCCACAGCAGAACTTTTATAGAGTGGCAGCCCATCAATGCCTATATCCAATTGTAGAATACCACTATGTTGGAAAAGAATGTCTTTTGCTTTCTGGAGTTGCTTCTCCAACCCAATATGCACATATTCCCCCGGTGCTACAGTTCTTGTTATGCATTTCTCATTTTTATGCATGAGACCTCCAACACTTGTCGGCACGTCCAAGTTTTCGCTCTTTAAAATTTTAAGTAAACTATTGCAGCATTGTACAGATGGGCTGTACTCTACAAACCAATTTTGCAATTTTTGTCGTAGAGATTGTGGCAAATCATGGTTAAAACATTGGTCCTCTTGATTCTCTTCCACCACTTCACAATGAGAAGAGGCAACTTCTTCATTACATGTTGACGTTGACGAAATGTTTGATAACATAGAATCAATTCTAACTTTTACATTTTTAACTTTTCTTTTAAATGTTCGTTTGCTGCTCATGTTGACTTACCTTTTGTATCACTTTTATTTTTAGTATTTAGTTTTTTATAAAAAATCTTCAAGCTTTATGTATTTATTTAACAACTTTTGCACTTTTTTCTTGAACGCGAAAACAAATTGTAATAATTATAAAATTAGTGATGTTGTTTTAGTTACATCTGATACCCACAAATAACTAAAAGTGAGTAGTCATAATGTTCAACAAATTTAATAATTAAATGTAAAATTTAACATTAGTTTCAAATAAAAACAATATATTTTTTAAATTATATGTTATCAAACTACTTTTAATACGTCTTTATCACTTTTTTATAGAATAAGATGTATTTTATTGGCATTAAAATTTTCTTTCAAATATGGTTACCCAAAAAAGTTACAACACTGACAATTTGGAACATTGGTTAATGTTACCAACTTAAAATTTTGAAAAGCTATAAAATCAATATACTATAAATACATTTATTTTAAAAAATAAAAAATAATAATTTTAAACATTGAATTTAACTTTTTGACATGACATTGATAAAAAAAAAACTAAATATAATAAACAAATAAAACATTAATATTATATTGTAAGTCAGTTTTAAAGTCCTTTATAGTATTAAAAAAGCTACTACGTAAACGAGTATTAAAATCCGCAATATTGTCAATACTGTTCTAATTTTTGTTTATTATTATTATTAATAAACAATTGTTTATTATTATCAAAAACATTTGTACATATGTAAGTATGTACACAAATCAAAATGTAAATTTTTTATAAATTCAATGAAATTTTTAAAACCTATTAGAATTTATTAGAGAATTAAGTATATATAAATTCTAAAAGGTTAACAATTTATAGTGAAGTATTGCAATTTCTACATTGGAATTAAATAACATCATTTGAAGGAATTATTCATGCATTCACTTATGGCAATTTTATTCGGATTTAAGAATAAAAATAACATGGGTTAAAATGAATAAGTTCGAAAGCAATCATGAAAATACCCCTTCTTCTTGAACAACTTCATTCTTTTTTTGCTGGGTATACTTGAAAATAGGGAGCTTTGTTAACTTCATGAAGATCCCTTCTAAGTGTATTCGCTTGTTAAGACAAAGGCTTAAGTTTTTAGCAATTTGTTTCCTACTTCGCCAAATTTCCCATCTTTATAACAAACATGTGTTTACCTTAAAACACACCAAGGGAAAATGTTTATGTTTAAATTTGTAAATTTTCACAAAAAAAAACAAATAAGGAAACAAAATTAAACAACACTTCTAATGCATAATAAAACTGTTATATACAAACGCATACTCAAATATACTAACCCAACCGTACTAAAGGACTTTCCCTAAGAAGTTATTTTCACCAATTGTTTGTCACTTTATTACTTTCAATTATGCTACTGTATTTATGGGCTTAGTAATCTGTAGCACCCAGAACTGCTGGGTAATTTTATAGCAAAAAACTAATTTTAATACACATATTCATATATACTTGTTAATGTAAGTACACACTTACATATGCATATATCAGTAGTTAGAATGTGTTATTATTATTTTTTTTTTATTAAAAAACATTTTCATAATAACTGTAATAACACAATTTCCTGTAACGTGGCAGTGTTGACAACTCATAAAACTTGTAAAATGAACAAATACAAATACGCACACATACACACACTGTTAAACAAATAAATACAAGGAGAGATTTTAAAACGCATTAAACAGTAGTTTGATAAGTCTGATGATTAAAATTTAAAAAAGTTCAGTTATGGGTAATTTTAACAAACTTATGTAAGTGAGCATCGACTTCATGGAGGTAAGGAAATCAGAGAAAACCCCTTTATTCCTTTTTACTAATTAAAAAAGCTCTTGACATTTGCCTTAACCCCTACCAAAAACTTTAGCTATATAGAAGACTTCTAAGGTTAAAACAAATTTCCCTAACAACTATTTGTCATTAACAATTTATATGTAACCACATTTATATGTTTTCCTTATTAAAGGAAAAATTTTTTAACATTTCATACAGCTGCGCTCAGGAATATTAAAATATGAAGTATTCTAGTATAAAGCGGATTGTGTAACTAGTTTAGCTTAGCTGATATTTGTTATTTAAAGCTTTATACTCTTTTGAATATTTAATTTTCTTTAGCTTATTTCATAGAAATTTCATTAAATAGAAACATTTTCTTTTTAAAAATTAACAAAATTTTTAAACTCAAACCACTGTTGATGACACTCACTCCTTTACATATATAAATATTTGCTTATTTGAGTATATAAACAGACTTATTGTATATGCATTAGGGGAGAGAGGATTTCTTTCTTTAGGGAATTTATAATTTTGAGACAATCTCTCTTGGTATTAAAGGGCTAAACAAGAACGAAACTAACGAGATTGAATGTTAGTTTACATGGAACGTTTCAAAATTTAATGAGACCATTCAAATGATTCCTCACTTATTAAGGCGATTTTGTTAACCCTTTGATTCATTATAGAATCAACCAGAACCAACTTTAAAAGTGTTAAACGTATTCGCAGAACGCAAACAAATAAGAAATATTAAGGGGAACGAACAAGAGTGAAAACTTATTTTCATCGAACGTTTGAAAGTTACTGATATCACTCGCATGATCTCTCCCTTATATAGACGATCTTGTAAACCCTTAAATCCATAATAGAACCAATCAGAACTTCTAAGAAAATTGATTAACGAGTTTACATGGGACGTTTAAAAACTTATTAAGACCATTCAAATGATCCCTCACTTTTTAAGGGGATTTTGTAAATCCTTTGATCCATTAAAGAACCAATCAGAACCAACTTTAAAAGTGTTAAACGGATTCGCAGAATGCGAAAATATAAGAAATATTAGACGGAACGAACGGGAGTGAAAGTTAGTTCTCATGGGACCATTATTTAGGCGATTTAATAAGATTTGTTTTGGAAACATCTTTAAATAGGTTGGAATCATGAGAAAGAGATTTAGACCAACATATTTTAATCGACGTTCATGTAAAGCTCAGAAATCACATAGAAATTATAGTAATGACAGTTCTTCTTCAATTTAATAACTTGATTATTAATCATTACTTCAAAATCATTCAATTGTAACGTTGTCTTAAGACACATCGTTGCTTATAAGAAGTTTTAAGAGGTTCCTATCAAGGATGAAGAATGTCAAAGTTCTTCTGTAAGTCAGAGTCAAAGAAAAAGAGACAATCTCTCTTGGTATTAAAGAACTAAACAAGAACGGAACTAACGAGATTGAATGTTAGTTTACATGGAACGTTTCAAAATTTAGTGAGACCATTCAAATGATCCCTCACTTATTAAGGTGATTTTGTTAACCCTTTGATTCATTACAGAACCAACTTAAAAAGTATTAAACGGATTCGCAGAACGCAAACAAATAAGAATTATTAGGGGGAACGAACTAGAATGAAAACTAATTTTCATTCAACGTTTGAAAGTTAGTGATATCACTCGCATGATCCCTCCCTTATTTAGACGATCTTGTAAACCCTTAAATCCATTATAGAACCAATCAGAGAAAGAAATATTAGACGGAACGAACGAACGAAAGAAATATTAAACGGAACGAACGGAAGTGAAAGTTAGTTCTCATGGGGAGTTTTATATTTAGTAAGATCCTTATTTAGGCGATTTCATAAGATTTGTATTCGAAACATCTTTAAATAGGTTGGAATCATGTGAAAGAGATTTAGACCAACATATTTTAATCAACGTTCATGTAAAGCGCATAAATCACATAAAAGGTATAGTGCCGATAGTTCTTTTTCAATGTAATAACTTGATTATTAATCATTACTTAAAAATCGTCCAATTGTAACATCGTTGCTTATAAGAAGTTTTAAGGGGTTCCTGTCAAGGGCCAAGAATGTCAAAGTTCTTCTGTAAGTCAGAGTCAAAAAATAGTTGTTTTGGAAGTACTTAGTAATAGTTCCGGTTCTGTTTCTATTTGCTACTCGTAGTAATACCATTTTTGAATCAGTTTCGTCCAAGGAACAAAATTAATTTACCAAGAAACGTTTGTTTTGGGAGCGAGAGTAAATACAATTGAGAAGACATTTCGAACTTATGGAAGTAAAAGTAAATATACATGATCCATATTTCTAGAAAACACTGGAAAACGATGCAAGTATTAAGTAATCTTGTGGAGAACAAGCTCAGCGCAAAGTTGTTTTGTTGTTCTTGATCTTCTTTTGAAAAACCAACACAATCATGTGATTACTTTCGAACCGTTGTTAGTGAACCTTGAAATTATTTGATATATAACAAGGTACTCTAAGAAAGGGAATATAGCTCCTCCTAGGATCACTAATCACAATCAACTAATCTATATACATATGTATGTACTTAGATTCTTGGAGACACCCTATTTTTATAGTAGTTAGATGAATGAATGTATTGATCGAAGCGATCATGTCTCAAAGCTCTCTACTGACAACTTCATTAACAAATGCAATCAGTTTGATACCTCGGTTACAGAATCTTGAAGGGAATACGACTCCTTCTAGGGACACAAATCACAACTTGTATTGTTCTCATAGCTAAACTGATCATTATTCCCAGTCGACGACTAGACCCTTAAATATCTACATTGGAATATTGTAAAAAGCTATGGCATGATGACTGACAATGATCATTGCAATAAAGCTGGAAATATGTCATCCAAACCATGTGATTTAAAAAACTAAGCGGGTGGATGTTATTAATTCTTTTATTTAGATCTGGGGTGTCGCAAGTCCTAAGAAGAATTTTCATTTTCATCGAAAGCCTACAAAGTCTATAAGAAGTTTCGGTATTTGGGAACTTCTTTATGGACTTTAGCACATAACTTTGAAAGACATTAGTTCTCCATTATATTTTCTAAATCGTCAGTACTTATTTTTATTTTTTTGGTTTCTCTTTTGAAAAGTTTAAAGCTTCTTCCTTCTTTAGCCGAAGATTGTTGGAATTTCTTAGGGAATAGCAAGTCCATACACGAGACATAAAAAACACATCCTGGAGTCCAATATAGAATGCACAC